CTAATAACTGTTAACTTAACCGTCCTATATTATATTTCCCAGATATACCATATAGCAGCTTACACTTCTAACCTATTGTACAATAGACCATTCTGCATAAAACTCTCACCTAATCATAACCATCATCTCATCGTTCTTTATTTTTCAGCTGGCGCTGGCGAAAAGTGAATACAATAGCAAAAATCCCCGTGTTCTACACTGCATCACCACAATGTATGATTGAGTAGTCTCTTATCAAACATATTATGGTAACCAATGTATTTTAAATATACTTTAATTTTGCTATTATTTTTTTCTGTTTCTGACTCAATATATACTATTTACAAGCCAACTTTTTAGTTTAAATGTTACAACCTATTTAGGAATTAATAATCTTAAAAAAATTACAAAATTGTACTTGAACATTCAGAAATTGTCAAATTTGATACACTTGGTTAAATAGTCAACTTAAATGATAATTGTATTATAGTAATAAATTCTATGTAAAGAAATATAATTAAAATAATCACTTAATATATTGCTCAATTTATTATAAGTGGGTAATAAATATACTTTGATAACAATACTAGTTACGTAATATTTAATATCTTAACTAAAACTCTAAGGACAGCAAGCGAGAAGGCAATTTATTGTTCACTAACTATTTGTATGGATTACTTATAGCTATAATTTTTAAGAGAACTACTCCTTGAAGCTAGTGTCATATAAATTTAGAAAAATATACTCAAAAACAATAAATCAACCAAATTAAATGAACTCCGCAACTTCATGTCGGTCAGCATTTTCGATTGAAATGTTTCATTTCGCTGCACAATCGTCACGCATCACGATTTGCGTAATTTGATTTTGTAGCGCTGACGCTGAAGTACTTCAATACTCTGTATACGTATACTATTTTACTAACATATTTTTCAAGGTTTTATAAAAAGTCTTATTATTTTTTCTTATCAGGTTTTTTGCCGCTAAATATTATAGGTATGGCTTTAAAATTACTTACATAGGAACAAAATAAAAAACTAACCATAAAAACATCGAGCGATACAGTTTTACGTTAGGGATATTTATCTATCATCTTTATACAAATTTCAATGACACTATTCATAGCTGCAGAATTAAACGATTGCTAAGGACTTCAAACCATCGCGCATTGCGACAGGAGTAGGTCCTGGTAGTTTGATAATGATTCTGATGTGTGTCGAGATTACCAATTATTCGTAGTATAACTTTGAACTGCGTAAAGATAGGATATTCATTCAAGTTTCAATCGTCAACTCTTATTAAAATTTATCGACGACATATAAAGCATTAGTGTAAAATTTTAAATCTAAATATAATGTGATGAAACAAATATCAAACGGTAGTCATAGAAAACCCGAATTGAAATTGGAGATCGTACGATTGGATAGAGCATCAGAAAAGCAATCAAATTGTACAAATAAAACACAACAAGTCCTAGTCAACGTAATAGAAGCTGTTGTCCGTTACGAGCCTATTCACATACAATAATTGGCAATAAAATACCGACACTCGTTATATTTTTAATATGTTTTTACTATGGAGGTATTTTCTACTAAGTGTATTGTGACTTTATCCTTGTTTCTTTACAATTATACTATTAATTTGACAACAAGACATGAGTATTATTGGTTAAATGCTCAGTGCATTCGTAATGCAAAAAAATTACAGAAGAGAAAAATACCGTCAGTCCACCATAGTTAATTTGAATGAACCTGATTTGTTAGTTGAATTTTAAAAATTTTAAATACTTAATTGCTACTTTTTCAGTCTTTTGTTATTATAATGTTCTTTAAATGTTCATGTGAATTCCGTAAGAAAAAAAATATTTAAATCACAGGATGGCACTAAAGCGTCCAAAGAGAACAAGACTGTAGTTAAATGAAATACTTAAAATGTAAATTAAAAGCTTTATTTGACGAGAATCGTCCAAGATTATTATTTTTTGTAGAATATGGATTAACATTTTTATAATAAGCACAGCTAGTGAAGTTTTTTGTGTATGAATTTAGATTTAGCCTGAACATTTCAATGGATAAATTAAATATTACTATGCCTGTATTATACATTGGTGAATAGATTATACATATAGGGAAATCGCAGGTCTAACTTAAGCAATTCCCTAATAATTATTAAAATGAAAAGAAATATGCACTTACTCACTGGCTAGATCAACTTAATTTTGAGTATAAAACTTCAGAGTATTGGTTCTAAAAACAATGCTTGTGCTTTAAAAAGTTGTTAAAATTGAAAAATAAAAGTACCCCATTCACAATGAATATAAATAGCTTTGTTCTTAAAACTTGCATAGCCATAAATGGTTCAGGAATGTTGGACGACTATTTATACTCGTATGGCTTGCCGTTCCCGCTCACTAGCCTACGCACAGCGCAGTGAACGCCGAGGAGTTTAGTGGGTGGAAATCCCACACGCCCCCGCCGTGTTTTCCCCCGCGGCGGGAAGTCTTTGAAAGATTCTCCTCGTTAAAAAAAAAAACTACTTATACTCGTTGTTTAATCTAATTGATAATCATCAATATTGAATTGTGAAGCAAATTTTTCCTATAGTTTATATCCACCCTTAGTTTTGATTCCGTAACCTGAACATTACAGGAAAAGAAATAGAGTTTTGTACTCATTGCAACAGTTGAATCTAACATTTGAAAATAAAAGTATATGAACAAAAAACTAATTTTTCATAATATAGAAATTGCCAAGCTTTTGCAGTAATATATTATACGATTTTAAATTTTCAATAGGTTGTTTGTAAATATAAATATACTTTTTAAAATTTAACCATCATATCAAACTTTGTTTAATTCTGTTCAGGTCACTTTGAAATACAATACTGTTAAAGAGTTTTCAGTTTCGACAAACACTAGGAAGCAATTATTAAATTGATAAAATACAAAACAATAATATTGAAATATTGTGGTTAATTTAAATGAAAGCGCAAATTGTTCATTGAAAGCATTTTTCATATATTTTAATAAAAAATCATACCGTTGCAGTTTCATTTTAAATAAGAGGATCGAAGCTATGAAAGCTATCCTTTATTTCATCTTTATAATTATTTCTCCATACAGGAATAAGATATTAAGGTCCGAACTAAGTACTGCATTCAATTTACTTTATCTGTAAAAATATAAGATAAGTTTTGGCAACGCACCTGTCGTACAATTCATTGTCACATGCGATTTGTACATATTTGTGTTTATTGTGTATATTTTTATAACGTAAAGTAGTAAATAAAATCTGAGTAAAAAACCTAACCTAGCAACCGAGCTGACGGTCTACCTACCATCACCTATTGACATCCGCAACAGAAGAGATGTTGCGGATGTGTCATCACCCTTGATGAAAAAGTGGGTAAAAGTGAGAAAGGGAAGGTAAAAGAAAAGGGTAACCGGCTTTCTCACTCATCGGTCGAAACGCAGCCAATAAAGGCTACTTTACGCCGATCTTCTGCAAGAGGGTGATACTTCCATCACTCAACTATTATAAATGCAACTTTAAAAACATCAGTATATTCATCATTAAAAATATTTAAAACATAAGAAGGTATAAATATTATTATTTTTTTAATGATTTTGTGATTATTTCTTCCTATTAAGATATTAATAACTGGACCAAATTTAAAATGATGACTTTTGGATAACAAATGGAACAGGTTAAGAGCTGTTGAACCGAATAAAAATACATAAATTGTCAATAATAGTTCAATCTCAAAACAAAATCTTTCTAAGAATATTCTAGAGAACCTTAAGAAGTATAAGTTTACTAACAAAAGAGAATGGAAATTCAGATGTTTTCGTATCTACGAGTATGTCATTAAAAATAAACAGCAACGTGAAGAACGAAATATTTTCTTTAAAAGTCTTTATTCTATAAACTCTAAGGCAAACTTTAGAAGATTATTTTTATATCGGAAATTGAATCAACACCACTGAACGCGACACGTAATTGAATGTTTTTATGTGATAACAATAAAAAAATATTATATTTGTAAGGCTTAATTTAAAAACAATATTTATTTTTAGATTTTTTTATATATATCTTTTTACATGATCTATATTCATATTAACATTAATGAAATTATTATTTATTTATTAAATGTACATATGAAAATCATGCAAGTACACATTTTAAATCTTCAACATTTATAGAAATTCTATAGTAAATTTTCTATAAGTTAGTAAACTCTATAGTTCACTTATATAAATGTTTTATTAATCTTATGTTAGTCTGAATAAAATAGAAATAAATAAACTGTAATCATAATAAAACCGCTAAGTTCTATCCGAGAGTTGACATTATTTGACTCACTTTAATAAACGAAGACGAAATTGTTTTATAAGAAAATCCCAAGTTGAATTTCTTTGAAAAAAATGTTACTCATTCTAAGACCATAATCTTACTTATGAATAATCATACTTCTTTATTTATATTATCAATTTTATTGAACATGAAAGAAACTCACTTACATACCATATGTATGCCACATAATATCTATACATATATAGCCCTTTTGATATATTAACATAAAACAAAAACGATGTGCTTACCTTTCTCAGTTTTATGATTTTATTCACTTTAATACATAAGATACTTTGGATACTTCTTACTTCTGAAGTATAAGAATGGCTTAGTAATATACGAACATACTGATATATATCTGAGAAGAAATATAGTCTCTCTTTATATCTAGACAGCTATCTTCGGCATATCAATGTATTAAAAGGCCAATACGTCTTAAATAATAAACTCACTAACTGAATTAAACTCACTCACTAGATGTAACTACGAGTCTATGTCAAACAATACCTTTCATTAATGAACTGCCTCACCCTCACCACCATAAGGCCTCGGCCTCGAATTTTGCGGGCAGCGGATCGGGAGCGGGAGTGGCAGGATCTTACGCGTATAATCAAATGGACCGACCCTCGAATACAGCGGTGCCCGCTGCCCGCTATTTTGGAGAAATGTATGCGTTTTCGTGCCGCTGCCGCTCCCGCTGCCGCTGCCGCTGCCGCTCCCGCTGCCGCTCCCGCTGCCGCTCCCGCTGCCGCTCCCGCTGCCGCTCCCGCTGCCGCTGCCGCTGCCGCTGCCGCTCCCGCTGCCGCTCCCGCTCCCGCTCCCGCTGCCGCTCCCGCTCCCGCTCCCGCTCCCGCTGCCGCTCCCGCTCCCGCTCCCGCTCCCGCTGCCGCTCCCGCTCCCGCTGCCGCTCCCGCTGCCGCTCCCGCTCCCGCTGCCGCTCCCGCTGCCGCTCCCGCTCCCGCTGCCGCTCCCGCTCCCGCTGCCGCTCCCGCTCCCGCTGCCGCTCCCGCTCCCGCTCCCGCTGCCCGCAAAATTCGAGGCCGAGGCCTAACAAGTGAAATGAAAATTTTGTAAAGAAATTTTTTACTTACATTTTGAATGATTTCTTTTCAGTAGCGATCGTTGGACAACATTTTTTTTTGTATGAAGCCTATAGATAGTACAGTTTTTGAATAAGTCACTTTATTATGTCATTTTGATGTTAAAAGTATCTAACCAAAATCAATCCAATCTCGGTTATGGAAATGAATTGCGAAATATTATAATTATTAAAATTGCGAACGTTTGTGAGTGTGTGTATGTTTGTTACTTCTTCACGCTCAAACGGCTGATCCGATTTTGATAAAATATTGGACGTGAATATCACATACGCTACTATATATCCTGGAAATTGTTCGAATTTTCCTCATATAAGCGAAAAACCTTATATGAGGACTTTACTTACTCGAGAACTTTACTTACTTACTCGAGAACTCAACTCCTAGCCAAAATCACATCATCGCTATGTACCTTTTACCGGTCTATGTAGGCACGATCGACAGTCAATAAGCAATCCTTTCGTTAAAAAAAAGTTATGATAGACAATAATCTCTAAACAACAGTTTCTTTCTGTAGTCAATTTTTTAAATACTGCCAAACTATTCATGTTAACGTAATTATGATTTTTTATAACATTTCTGTTGTTTTGTTGTTATTGGGTATTGCCCCATTTGTTGGCTTTCTTTTATATATTATTAATTCCGAAATTAACACGGACGAAGTCGCGGGCAAATCTAGTTATTAATAATTTCCAGTTTAATTTTCCTTACGAGAATTACAGGATTCAGTGGATTTATTATTATGATTGTTCCTATTTTCACAAAATATTAAAAGTATATTCTTCCAAAGAAAGAACTTCTAGATTTTAAAAGTAAGTAGTAATACTTAAAATAGTCAATGCATTTTTTTACTACTCAAAATACACACTGGCGTACCGATAAATAAATCTTATTAGGTCAGAAATTTCAAAAATTATACTTTCTAACAATAGCAACATTTTTTGAAAGGACAATATTTTCATGTTGGATTCTTCTATCCTAATTTTGTACTTGAACTAATTTGGCAGATACGTGCCTACTGTTAAAGTGTATGAATGAAATTTGAACATTGAACCTAACAAGAGCAGAGGAAAATAAGATTTTTGATATAATAAGTATTTAGAATGTAGACTTATAGTAAATACTGTTTAGTTTTTATTTGTACAGTAAGAAATGTTCTGAAATTACGCTATATTTTGTTATTGACAGTTACGAATTCCTTTATATTGTTTCACTATTTATCCATAAAACCTCATTTCAAGGGTCACTCAATATTTTATTCTTTTGTCTTTTATGATACTAAGGGTATTATTATTAGGTATTATTATTATTCAAAGGAAAAAACACGGGTGATGTTTCTGTAAAGAATATTTATTACTGTAGATTTTGTTTTTTTATTTTATTATTTACAGTAGCAAGTTGAAACTGTAACAGTGCCATCACGTTATGTAATATTGACATATCAAACGTAATTAAATTATTAGAAAGTAATTAGGAGGCTTTGGTAAATTACTAGCGTAAGGTGTTATAGACATTTTGATGAAAGGGACATACATGCAAATAATGAACAGTCGTATAAAAATTATATTATTATATTTCAACATCGCCTTGTCTACTTCATTTTTTTTTTTCCATGACATTCTTATTTTATTTTTATGACATTCTAATAAAACATATTCTATACTTTTGTTATATTGTTGAGACTCTCAAAGCTTAAAAATAAGAATAAAGTCCTATTGAGCTTAAATTACTATTTATTAAGATACCTCGGTGTAATCTATAATATTAAGAAGAATGTCACCAAGTTCACGTCAAGCTCAGAACACAATGTGAGCAATAAATAGGATTACGTGTGTTTTATAACAGAATAATTAAGATAAACTTTGACGTCCTTAAGGCCTCGGCCTCGAATTTTGCGGGCAGCGGAGCGGGAGCGGGAGCGGCAGGATTTGATTATACGCGTAAGATCCTGCCGCTCCCGCTGCCGCTCCCGCTGCCGCTCCCGCTGCCACTCCCGCTGCCGCTGCCGCTGCCGCTCCCGCCGCCGCTCCCGCTGCCGCTCCCGCTGCCGCTGCCGCTGCCGCTCCCGCTGCCGCTCCCGCTGCCGCTCCCGCTGCCGCTCCCGCTCCCGCTGCCGCTCCCGCTGCCGCTCCCGCTCTCCCGCTCCCGCTGCCGCTCCCGCTCCCGCTCCCGCTGCCGCTCCCGCTCCCGCTCCCGCTGCCGCTCCCGCTCCCGCTGCCGCTCCCGCTCCCGCTGCTCCCGCTCCCGCTCCCGCTCCCGCTCCCGCTCCCGCTCCCGCTCCCGCTCCCGCTCCCGCTGCCGCTCCCGCTGCCGCTCCCGCTGCCGCTCCGCTGCCCGCAAAATTCGAGGCCGAGGCCTAACAAGTGAAATGAAAATTTTGTAAAGAAATTTTTTACTTACATTTTGAATGATTTCTTTTCAGTAGCGATCGTTGGACAACATTTTTTTTTTGTATGAAGCCTATAGATAGTACAGTTTTTGAATAAGTCACTTTATTATGTCATTTTGATGTTAAAAGTATCTAACCAAAATCAATCCAATCTCGGTTATGGAAATGAATTGCGAAATATTATAATTATTAAAATTGCGAACGTTTGTGAGTGTGTGTATGTTTGTTACTTCTTCACGCTCAAACGGCTGATCCGATTTTGATAAAATATTGGACGTGAATATCGCATACGCTACTATATATCCTGGAAATTGTTCGAATTTTCCTCATATAAGCGAAAAACCTTATATGAGGACTTTACTTACTCGAGAACTTTACTTACTTACTCGAGAACTCAACTCCTAGCCAAAATCACATCATCGCTATGTACCTTTTACCGGTCTATGTAGGCACGATCGACAGTCAATAAGCAATCCTTTCGTTAAAAAAAAGTTATGATAGACAATATCTCTAAACAACAGTTTCTTTCTGTAGTCAATTTTTTAAATACTGCCAAACTATTCATGTTAACGTAATTATGATTTTTTATAACATTTCTGTTGTTTTGTTGTTATTGGGTATTGCCCCATTTGTTGGCTTTCTTTTATATATTATTAATTCCGAAATTAACACGGACGAAGTCGCGGGCAAATCTAGTTATTAATAATTTCCAGTTTAATTTTCCTTACGAGAATTACAGGATTCAGTGGATTTATTATTATGATTGTTCCTATTTTCACAAAATATTAAAAGTATATTCTTCCAAAGAAAGAACTTCTAGATTTTAAAAGTAAGTAGTAATACTTAAAATAGTCAATGCATTTTTTTACTACTCAAAATACACACTGGCGTACCGATAAATAAATCTTATTAGGTCAGAAATTTCAAAAATTATACTTTCTAACAATAGCAACATTTTTTGAAAGGACAATATTTTCATGTTGGATTCTTCTATCCTAATTTTGTACTTGAACTAATTTGGCAGATACGTGCCTACTGTTAAAGTGTATGAATGAAATTTGAACATTGAACCTAACAAGAGCAGAGGAAAATAAGATTTTTGATATAATAAGTATTTAGAATGTAGACTTATAGTAAATACTGTTTAGTTTTTATTTGTACAGTAAGAAATGTTCTGAAATTACGCTATATTTTGTTATTGACAGTTACGAATTCCTTTATATTGTTTCACTATTTATCCATAAAACCTCATTTCAAGGGTCACTCAATATTTTATTCTTTTGTCTTTTATGATACTAAGGGTATTATTATTAGGTATTATTATTATTCAAAGGAAAAAAAAAACACGGGTGATGTTTCTGTAAAGAATATTTATTACTGTAGATTTTGTTTTTTTATTTTTATTATTTACAGTAGCAAGTTGAAACTGTAACAGTGCCATCACGTTATGTAATATTGACATATCAAACGTAATTAAATTATTAGAAAGTAATTAGGAGGCTTTGGTAAATTACTAGCGTAAGGTGTTATAGACATTTTGATGAAAGGGACATACATGCAAATAATGAACAGTCGTATAAAAATTATATTATTATATTTCAACATCGCCTTGTCTACTTCATTTTTTTTCCATGACATTCTTATTTTATTTTTATGACATTCTAATAAAACATATTCTATACTTTTGTTATATTGTTGAGACTCTCAAAGCTTAAAAATAAGAATAAAGTCCTATTGAGCTTAAATTACTATTTATTAAGATACCTCGGTGTAATCTATAATATTAAGAAGAATGTCACCAAGTTCACGTCAAGCTCAGAACACAATGTGAGCAATAAATAGGATTACGTGTGTTTTATAACAGAATAATTAAGATAAACTTTGACGTCCTTAAGGCCTCGGCCTCGAATTTTGCGGGCAGCGGAGCGGGAGCGGCAGGATTTGATTATACGCGTAAGATCCTGCCGCTCCCGCTGCCGCTCCCGCTGCCGCTCCCGCTGCCACTCCCGCTGCCGCTGCCGCTGCCGCTCCCGCCGCCGCTCCCGCTGCCGCTCCCGCTGCCGCTCCCGCTGCCGCTCCCGCTGCCGCTCCCGCTCCCGCTGCCGCTCCCGCTCCCGCTCCCGCTCCCGCTGCGGCTCCCGCTGCCGCTCCCGCTCCCGCTCCCGCTGCCGCTCCCGCTCCCGCTGCCGCTCCCGCTCCCGCTGCCGCTCCCGCTCCCGCTGCCGCTCCCGCTCCCGCTGCCGCTCCCGCTCCCGCTGCCGCTCCCGCTCCCGCTCCCGCTCCCGCTCCCGCTCCCGCTGCCGCTCCCGCTGCCGCTCCCGCTCCCGCTGCCGCTCCCGCTCCCGCTCCCGCTGCCGCTCCCGCTGCCGCTCCGCTGCCCGCAAAATTCGAGGCCGAGGCCTAACAAGTGAAATGAAAATTTTGTAAAGAAATTTTTTACTTACATTTTGAATGATTTCTTTTCAGTAGCGATCGTTGGACAACATTTTTTTTTGTATGAAGCCTATAGATAGTACAGTTTTTGAATAAGTCACTTTATTATGTCATTTTGATGTTAAAAGTATCTAACCAAAATCAATCCAATCTCGGTTATGGAAATGAATTGCGAAATATTATAATTATTAAAATTGCGAACGTTTGTGAGTGTGTGTATGTTTGTTACTTCTTCACGCTCAAACGGCTGATCCGATTTTGATAAAATATTGGACGTGAATATCACATACGCTACTATATATCCTGGAAATTGTTCGAATTTTCCTCATATGAGCGAAAAACCTTATATGAGGACTTTACTTACTCGAGAACTTTACTTACTTACTCGAGAACTCAACTCCTAGCCAAAATCACATCATCGCTATGTACCTTTTACCGGTCTATGTAGGCACGATCGACAGTCAATAAGCAATCCTTTCGTTAAAAAAAAGTTATGATAGACAATATCTCTAAACAACAGTTTCTTTCTGTAGTCAATTTTTTAAATACTGCCAAACTATTCATGTTAACGTAATTATGATTTTTTATAACATTTCTGTTGTTTTGTTGTTATTGGGTATTGCCCCATTTGTTGGCTTTCTTTTATATATTATTAATTCCGAAATTAACACGGACGAAGTCGCGGGCAAATCTAGTTATTAATAATTTCCAGTTTAATTTTCCTTACGAGAATTACAGGATTCAGTGGATTTATTATTATGATTGTTCCTATTTTCACAAAATATTAAAAGTATATTCTTCCAAAGAAAGAACTTCTAGATTTTAAAAGTAAGTAGTAATACTTAAAATAGTCAATGCATTTTTTTACTACTCAAAATACACACTGGCGTACCGATAAATAAATCTTATTAGGTCAGAAATTTCAAAAATTATACTTTCTAACAATAGCAACATTTTTTGAAAGGACAATATTTTCATGTTGGATTCTTCTATCCTAATTTTGTACTTGTTTTCGAAATAATAAGCGTACAGTAGCGTAACAGTATGTGGCTGATTTTTATTTGGATATTTTAAAAACATTACACCTATCGAACAAAACATGTTTAATAATTGATTTTAAAACAATAAAATACCATTAATAATAATGAACGACGCGTAGTTTATTTTATTCTGCATGTTTTTTATTAATCTGGACTCATTTATAAAACAAAAATACGTTATATTGTTATATCTGTGTGGTGAATAGATTATATCTTTCACTTTAATAGTTCAGTAGTTCAGAACAATAGTTTTTATTTTTGGTAAATAAAAGCGTTAACAGAATATTTGTAACACTTTCTATCTATATTTATATATGAAATAAAATAGTAGGAGAATGATAGCAGGAATTTTACATTTTAATCTTTATACAACCCTTATAAAATAATAAACTTTAAATCATTTCATTTCAACAAATCAAAAGTTATAAACCACTTCATTATTACCTATGATACGTATTGTTAGTGCAACTCTCTCATCTAATGTAATGTCGCCGTTCATTTGAAACTTGTAAAAGGTTCTGTTGCTTCAAGTTAAGATGATACTCAACTTGGAGGAAGTTCGATTAAATGAACATCACATCTAATGGAAAGAATTTCGAACAGGCAACTTGTACATTTACTTTATAAATGATTCAAATAATTGAGTCTCAGTTTTGTTGAATTAGTAAAACTAAATATATATGTATATATGTCCTCATATAATAAATTGACTAATGACGATTTGTTACAGTCTTATAAAAACTTCTCTTTTTATATTCAAGAAGAAGTCTATAAATATAATGTTGATTTTTTTTTTTGTTATTTTGAAATAGGTTTTATATCAAATCTCAGAACCCTTAGACCCAGTTTCACCAATCAATGTTTGTTTAATCTAATCACAGCATTTACTAACCAACCTTCAAAATTATAAGTGTCTGTTAAAATATTTACGTCCCACGATGACAAATTAACAACGCATTATTAAACGTCATGTCAAATGACCGACTACCAACTTATTCGTTCTAGTTATAAGACGACCAAGTGGAACTATAGCATTTAACACGGCACGTTTGCCACGATGCACCACTTTATACTTTGATCATATATATCCCTCGATACGTCACTTGTAAGCTAATGCGACCAAAATTTATCGTTGGTTGCATACATTTAGCACACAAAAGCTTTCTTTTCAATTTACTAGGTGTAACTTGTCAAATCGTGTTGTCAATAAATTGTGTTATAAATATAAACATAATTTGTGTTCAAATTATAAGAAATAAAAAGAAAACTTAATTTGCAATGTCATAGAAAAGCTGGAGGCAAAATCATCATACTAAATGAAAATTTAAATCACTTTATTAATAATAACAAGGAAATTGACAAAACAGATGACGTTACTATGGTTACAAGAAATCAGGGCTGTGATTGGACAATTGAGTTTTGACAATGCCATTAACATTCTGTTAGCCATTATACGGAGCTCCAGAGCAGGAATTAATATTAGTGGCTGGATAAGACATTTAAACGGACATTTTGTGAGTGGTGGGACGCTCGATACATCTAACAGAGCATCAAACACCTTAACACGATGTTACTTATTTAACAGTGATTGGTGAAACTGGGTCTTATTATAGCAATCGTTAGCCTCCTTTTGTTACGATTTATGTCTATTAAATTATCCATGATGAAACTGTAGGAATTTATATAAAGAACAAGAAAAATCTTGAATAAATGTAAGTTGTATACTCAAAGTGGTTAGTTAATGTTTCCTCTTTGTGTTTTTATTCTTATAGGTAACTATTTTTTCACACAAGTCAATTTAAATTAAACTAAACAAAGTTCGGTAATGTTGATACATACAAAATGTGACTATGAAAGAGACGAAAGCTCTTAGCATTCGATGGATTCACCGTGTAGGTGCGGGGTCCATCCGTTATAATACAAATTAAGAAAGAGTTTATCAATTTAGTAAAGAATATGCCTCCGTTAACTTTATATAATGCTATAACAATGATTTAAGACGTTATTCCTTAAAATATGTTAATTAAAAACGTCAATGTAGTCGTGTTAGAATGAAGCCGGTAAATTAAATTAATTACTTTTCATAATTTCTTCACTCCAAGCATCGTTTTACAAGCAATTTATATGAACTGAATGGATTTTAAATAGAATGTGTTTAGTTTATTAAGTTTATTAAAATACAAGCTAATAATCTGCTTCTATATAATAATTATTTATATTTTACATTAGCTTTTGTTACATTAATGCTGCAAATTTTAAACACTTAATGAATGAATAATGTAAAATATTTAACCAGAGAGAATACTAATTTATTTGTCAAAATAAAGTAGATAGTAATTGTCTATTTTTCAGTTAGCGCATAATCGCAGTAATAGCTTATCATTCTTGCGTTCTATACATTAAACCTGTCCTGAGGGTATGCTAGATTGCTTTTAACCAAGTCCTAGTCACCAATAGTTTATGGACGTCTTTCTATGGAGTTTAATGTGCAATCAATAAATTTAGATTTCACTGTAATTTTCGATTTGCTACGATGTCAATGATATTGAATATCGAATACAAAATAGAAATCTGAAAAGATCGGAAAAGTATAAAATATAACGTTACCTTTTTTGAAATATTATAAGAACCGTGATAAAATTTATTTTAACACAACCCTTCTATTTAATTTTCATCTTTTAATTTTGTTCCATAAAACAAAATTAGTTCGATTAAAATATAAAAAAGAAGACAACTGTCATTGAAAAGCATTACAACGGATTGTGAAATTTTACTTACCGTGATGAATTGCATTGCAGTTTTAAGAGGTTTAACAAATACGTGTCTTGGGGAAAACTGTGTGGGCTACTCTTTTTTATATAATTTAATTAGTATAGCTAATATTTTTGCCTATTGTGATAAATGGCTTTTTTGATAAAGGGTTTGTTCCGGATACTTGACCAGTCATTATCCCTATTTCGAAATCCCATAAAGATCTCCAGCTCCCTCATTCATTTAGAGCCATCGCGTTCTTCTCAACTTTAGGAAAAGAAGTAAATCGGTTAATTAAAAACTGTTTAATAATAGATTCTTGAGATGAAAATGTCTGTCCGGCCGTGAACGCAGTTCCTACAAAGTAATTGACTTTTAATGAATTTACACAAATTCCTCAAATATAATAATTAAAAGCTGTAGTAACCTTTTACAATTGACAAAATATTATCTATCTAAGTTGTTTTGATTATAATCATTAATCTATTTTTGTGTTGTTAAAGATGCTGTTGAAGAAATAATCGAAGTAACAGTAAAATATAATAATAATATATGTTTACTTGATAAAAATGCATAATTAATTTAGTCAATGAATATTATTTATTAAATACACTCTCAATAAATATTGTTTTTTGTATTCCGGCCATTGTTATCACGGGAAACATTTGTAATGACATCTACGACTTTTTATGTACTCTATAACCTAACCACTTATTTCGAAAATATATTTTTTCCTTTATATTTAAATTTTATTATTAACATTAACATAAGATGTCTCTTTTTTTAACATGTAAATTATAAATATGTTCTACATACCTTATGTATATGAGCACAAAATATTACGACTTCCAGGATACATCCCAATCGATTCACAAAATAATTATTACGTTTTATCTTAAGTTAAATAATTAGTAAAGATTAATGAAGTAATCTTGGGATGGTTATACCTGTGGACATTAGCCGGATTTTGAATGAAAATATTTTTTTATTACTTAATTAAAATTTAATAGACATAAAGTATCACAAATATTATTACAGTAATAGTTAATGCTTAACAATTAGCAGTCCTTGGTTTTGTACAAATTATAATTATTATGAAATATGACTTTTTTTAAAAACCCTAAATTTGTCCACAGGTAGGTACATCTCATGATTGTTCCTATGGACGGCATTGTATCTA